ATCCAAACCCTCAGTGGGAGTGCCGCCGTGCTCCGAAGCCGCGCGCTGTTGCAGTGCGCCACCGGGCCAGCCCAGAAAAATTATTTCTAATTCAACACTGCTACAGATGTAGTCAATACAACTGAAAGCTAGAGAAGAAATAAAGCCGAGTGTAATCCATTTAAATTTACAAATTTCACCAGGGACTGCCTCCAAGCTTTTACTACTTATGTATTTATCTATTTATTTAATCAACCACTACGAATACCCTCCACATGCCAGACACTGCACTAAGTGCTCTACTAATATTAAATATCATGTATCTTCACAACCACCCATGAAGTGGGTATAATTATCCCCATTTTACAGATCAGAAAACTGAGGCACTGAGTGGTTTAGTAACTTGTCCAAGTTTACAGAGCTAGTAAGTGGCAGAGCTCACTTTGACAGTCTGGCTCCAGAGTTCATGCTCAGAATCACTAAGCTTAGTCTCCAAGAACCTACAAAAAGTGCAAGATTTCATCCAAAATTGGTTTTCCCCACTCCACAACCCCTGTGTGGCCCTGGCCTACCTCTCCCACCTTGGGGATATTCTTTCAGTTCCTCTAACAGTCCATACTCCACCCTTGGTCTGCCTGAACAGATCTCTCCTACGCCTCTATTTTTCAAGCCTTTTGTTCTCAGCTTAAACATCTGTCTACAGTACAAACTCTAATGGAAGCTGTATTTCTCAGTGCTCAATACAAAATCATAATTATGTATTTCATGGGTAATTACTTGTTTCCTGTCTGTCTTGCCCATCTAAGCTGTGAGTTCCAGTATATACGACACCATGTGTGTCCAGCCCTTCATGTATTCCCAAGTATTGAATCCCCACCAACCAGCCCAAAGTAAGGGCCTGACACCAAGGAAGCTCTCAATCATTTTGTTGAACTGAATGAATGAATGAATGGAGGACACTCAAGCCTCATGTTTTCTCTTCCTCTGACACACATCTGTGCTGGTAACGCCGCATCCCCTGCTACCAAACCCCTAATAGTGGAGACTTGGTGTGGTACTGGCTCTGCAAACAAATATTAGTGACCCTGGACAGGTAATTTTCCCCACTGGTCTGAGTTTCAGGTGCACAGTGGGGATCATGACAACTCCCAAAAACTACCAAAAGAATGTGACCTACTAAAGAGGAATAACGTACACTTCTCTCATAACCCATAAAAATTAGTTATTTCCTTCATGTCTGTCTATCCAGCAAGACTTTAGCATCAAGAAGGCCAAGATNAAAGAGGAATAACGTACACTTCTCTCATAACCCATAAAAATTAGTTATTTCCTTCATGTCTGTCTATCCAGCAAGACTTTAGCATCAAGAAGGCCAAGATCACGTCCGCCTGGGTCAGCGCCATGATCTTATTCACAGTACCCCAGGCTTGCACCATGCCCGACACATAGCAAGAACTCACAAATTATAAGTCAAATAAATGGTCCCCTATTCTGTGAACTTCACAGGAGTGAAGCAAGGATCCCTCGAGCTGGGGACGGCATCCCTCTTGGCGCCCCAGGCTATTCCTTAGCCAGAGGCCCACCTCCCAAGAAGGTCTCAGCCCCCGATGCCGGATCCTAACCCCACTCCCTGCAGGCACCTCTTGCACAGAGAAGCATCTTCGCAGGTGCCGCGCACGCCCTCGTCGTCTGC